AGATATATAAGGTTCACTACTTAAATTTTCCTTGTCAATTTTGTTCAGGATGCACCTACACCTAGTCACATTTACCCCCACGCCCCTCTCTGTAGGTAAAATCGGACTCCGATTTTAAAAGGGATTCTGAATTTCGCGTTGCAGCCTACGGCATAAGCCAGATGATAGAGATTGCCAAGCTCACTCCCGCGGATCTAATGGCCAGCAACTACCACAACATCAATCTGCCTCCGGATGTTTCTAGTGAGGTTCGGTTCTTCTCGCGACCAGCTCTAAGTGATCCGACCTCTCGCCGAGATATTCTTGTATTCAGGTGCGTTTCTCCTCTTGGTCATCTCAAAAAGTGCTCACATACGCTCCTTTTTCATGTGATTTTTACCGGAACTTGGTAATCTGATCTGCGAATGTTCAGAATAACCGTCTGTTCAACCGGCTATGAGTAGTTGGACGATGAAGACGTGAAAACGATTAATTAATTCACATTCTTCCTGTTGGATGCAAGGATGAGGAATACCTCCGCCCATAGAGGTAGGCGGTCATTTATGTATGCACATAAATTGCTACTAGCCCAACCAGACATAGCGCCTTATAGAAATTCACGGATTTCGGGCGAGCGTTATGAACACTTAGTGAGCCCTCCTTTGCTTCACTGATCGAGAGGCGCCTCCTGTAAAGTATTCATGTGTAGTGGTGTATAAAAAAGGCCCGGGAAGCTTCTCATATTAACATGTAAATGAAATAATTGTGAAAAGTCCCAAAAGAGAGTAGTTTAGGGTAGGGCCGCTTCCTTATTTTCCATCAGAGATTGAGGTCCGATTGTTGCATGTAAATAAAAAATGCAAGCTCAAAAACTCGACAGTCTGCAACAAGCGAGCACATAGTGGACAATAGTTCAGCCTGGAGTCCGACCAGGGCGGTAATCCTGTAACAACTTTGGTTAGCCGATCTCCTTTACCCCGCAGCAGAGGAGGCAGAGACAGCAGAAAAGGAAACTCAAATTGAATGGATATCCAAACGATTGTCCCCACAAATTGTATTTGGATAAGCCCTTATCTCCTGAAGGTCTATAAAGCGTCCGCCTCCATGCCGCACGTACCGTATATTTATAACCGAAACAAATTCGATTCACAGGATGTCTTAAACGGTGATGCCGAAAGTTTGCATCACCGAGAATCCACACTCCCTGAGATAAATTATTCTGACCGTTGTGCTGCATCCGCAAGACCTCCCTTTCCCGTCGCAGCAGGACTTTCGGACACAAAATATAGACAGAGCTGCCTAATGGATTTCATTTTCCACAAGTGTACGCTATGTAGCTGAGTTTGGATTACAGGGTTTTCCTTCTTTTATGGCTTTTGGAGTCGTGTAGGTCTTGGTGTTACCTAGATTATTATTTACGGTGTGGCTGTGTAAATTGTAGCTATTGATTTTTCGGTCGCAAACAGGGACTGCTTGGTACAGTTTTGTCATGGAGCTTCGAAGTCTGCTGTTTGTAATCCCAGACAGTTGCGCAGTCGAGACCGCTTTTGGCTTCGTAGTCTACATCGTATCGATCTGGATTTGGAGTAGG